TGTGGACGACCACACGCGTGCGGTGTGGGTGTACCCTCTGAAGACTAAGGGGGAGGTGGCAGCGGCTGTTCTTAAGGAGTGGATGCCGAGAGCACAAAGGGAGAGTGGACACAAGGTGAAGGTGATCCGCACCGACAGCGGGGGAGAGTTAATTGGCAATGAGCTTGAGGCAGTGCTGAAGAAGAAGGGCATTCAGCATCAGCTCACAGTGCCCTACAACCCTCAGCAGAACGGCGTGGCTGAGCGGTTCAAACGGACCTTGCAGGAAGGTGCTCGCACTCTCCTTGGGCGCGCAGGGCTGCCGGATCCGTTTTGGGTGACTGCACTGAGGCAGGTCGCTCTTGTGAAGAACAGGGTGCTGGCGACTGTGGGGGACAAGCAGTGGGTCCCCTACACCAAGTGGTATGGGAGTGCACCTGCAGTCAACATGCTAAGAGCCTACGGCTGCATGGTGGTGTTTCATGTGCCGAAGGAGAAGAGGGGAAAGCTGGAAGCTTCTGGAAGATGGGGTGTGCACTTGGGGCTTGCAAAGGATCACAAGGGCTGGTTGATTTGGGACTTGACCAGCCAGCAGCTGATTGTGTCAAGGGATGTGAAGTTTCTTGAGTCCTTACGGAGTGGAGTGGAAGCAATAGCAGCAGAAGCTTCCAACTACACCGCTGATCGTTGAGGCCGATGAGGTGCAACGGCCTTCGAGGCAAGTGGAGGTTACTGTTTCAGAGGAGGAAATCTCTGGGGTGACTGAGGATGGGGGAGAAGCCGAGGTGGAGCAGCAGCAGCCGCAGCAGCAGCAGCAAGGTGCTCCACCAAGTGCCGCACGTCCGGCTGACCATCCTAGGAGGGATGTGCGCCCTCCTAACCGGCTGACCTATCCGAGTTTTGGCAAGCCAAAGGTGGTAAGGGCTGGGAGTGTGGCTGAGCAGTGTGATGAGGATAAGATTGCGCACTGCTACTGGGCAGCCGTCCCTGAGCCCAAGACGCTTGCCGAGGCGTTGAGTGGGCCCGATGCCGAAAATTTGAAGCAGAGTGTGAAGGAGGAGTATGACTCTCTGTTGGAGAACGAGACGTGGAAGATGTGTGAGCTGCCTCCTGGGAAGAAGGCCATTTCTTCCAAGTTGATCTTCAGGCATAAGTACGGACCTGATGGGGAGCTGACCCGCTACAAGTCAAGGCTTGTGGCTAAGGGGTTTCAGCAGACAAAGGGGAAGAATTTTGACGAGATCTTTGCTCCTGTGGGGAAAGGCACAACACTGCGGGTGACATTGGGAATGGCTGCAAACCGCGGATGGAGGATCAAGCAGATGGACATCACCACTGCCTTCCTCAACGGCATCATTCTGGAGGAGCTGTACATGCTGCAGCCCGAGGGGTTGGATGATGGGAGCGGTAGGGTGTGCAGGCTGAAGAAGGCCATCTATGGCCTGAAGCAGGCTCCTCGTGCATGGTACCACAAGCTGGAGGAGACACTGCTGGCTGGAGGTTTCAAGAAAAGAAAGTGTGATCACAGCTTGTTCCTGCTGCAAGAGAAGGAGCAGTTCCTCATGCTCTTGGTGTATGTGGACGACATACTGCTCTTCTCTAAGTCGTCTGCAATGATTGAACGTGTGGAGGAGATGCTGGAGATGCAGTTCAAGTGTTCCAAGATGGGAGATGTGAAGTACTATCTTGGGATGCATGTAGCACCTCTAGCCAGAGGGGTAGCTCAGCCTCGTCGCCAAACCGTGCTCGCCAAGCGTCGCTCAGACGGGAGAAGCAGCGGGACTCGGTGTGACTAACTGTCTCGCAGGTCTGACCAGCCTGATCACCTGTGCGAATGACGTACGGGCAGCGAGCAGTAGTCCTACACCCCCAACTCTGAGCGTACCACTCATGCAGCTGCCGGGGCGTAAGGGTCTCGCGCGGACGCCGCTGCAGCTGCATCTGGCCACCGCCAGAAACTCCGCACTAACGAGCTGCACCGCGACTGCTACTACCGCCACTGCCACCACACCTACGAGCGTACCACTCACGAAGTTGCGCGGGTGTAAGGGTCTCGCACGGACATCGCTGCAGCTGCATCTGGCCACCGCCAGAAACTCCGTGCCGGACAGCTCCAAAGCGACAACCACTACGAATGCCACCTCCACCACCGCTCCCACTGCTGCCGAGAAGAGAAGGCATGCGACCAGTAGGGCAGGCCGTAGGGAAGGAAGGGCAGCGAAGAGGAACTAGGGTAAGTCAAGGCTGCGCACGATCAGGGCAGGGCGGCTCACGGCCAGAGTAGGACAGCGCGCAAGGCAACCGCGGGCTGCGCAAGCGGCGGAGACAGCGCGCACGGAAGAAGCGGGCCGCACAAGGGCGGCTGAGGCTGCGCGTAGGGCAGCCGCGGGCTGCGCGAGCAGCTGAGGCACAGCGCGGGGCAGCGCCGAGCCGCGCGAGGGCTGCGGACGCGGCGCGCGGGGCAGCCGCGGGCTGTGCGGGCGGCAGACGCGGCGCGCGGGGCAGCCGCGGGCTGCGCAGGCGGCAAACGCGACGCGCGGGGCAGCAGCGGGCTGCGCGAGGGCTGCAGCCGCGGCGCGAGGGGCAGCAGCGGGCTGCGCGGGCTGCGGACGCGGCGCGCGGGGCAGCAGCGGGCTGCGCAGGCGGCGGACGCGACTCGCGGGGCAGCAGCGGGGTGCACGAGGGCTGCAGCCGCGGCGCGCGGGGCAGCAGTGGGCTGCGCGGGCTGCGGACGTGGTGCGCGGGGCTGTAGCGGGCTGCACGCGGGTGGAGGGCAGTGCGCGCGGGCAGCGCAGCGCAGGCAAGGCAAGGCGCGCGCGGGCAGCGCAGCGCAGGCAAGGCAGGGCGCGCGCGGGCAGCGCAGCGCAGGCAAGGCAGGGCGCGCACGGGCAGCGCAGCACAGGCAAGGCAGGCAGCTCAGACAGCAGACTGTAGGCAGCAGGCAGACGGCGCGCGCAGCGCTGCACGTCACAGACACTGGCACAGTCACAGTCGTGGGGTAGCGGTAGGTGGGCCCGAAAAAAAAAAGACGGTCCTACGGACCTACTGCTCTGAAACCATGTTGAGAATGCTAGACAGGAATGAGTGCATTAGGTCAAAGTTGGGTACAAGTATCAAACCCTAGAGGGGTTGTACCTCATATTGGCTACCCCACTACAGCCTACACAAATATAACATATATAGTTTGACACTCATACAGGGGCCTGCATGTCACCATGACCCCCATCATTATTCCTCTCACTTCTGCTCCCACACTGTCCCCCTCCCCTTCACACTGCCCCACATACACCCCTCTCCCCTTCCAGGCTCTATGCATCTGTGGGACATGCGTGAGCCGCCCTCTGCCTCTGTCCCCTAGAGCTGCCGCCTCTCTCCTCTCACCACCACCGCCCCCACGTCGCCACTAGCAGTGACAGGGCTGGTGTTCTCTTACTGGGGTTTGCACGTCACTGCTGCCAGCTCCACTGGGGGGCTCAAAGTGCTGGAGGTGAGGCTTTAAGACACCCAGTGACAGGCTCATGTTGTTGTTTAGGGGCTGCTCCTGATGGGTGTTGACTCCACACGGGGTCTCAGAGTACTTCAGGTGCTTTAACGGCTGGTGGTTTCTTACTAATATTGCGCCACTTCCTCACCACGCGACACTGCTTCACCCAAGGTTCACGCTCACTGGGCCTCTAGTCAGTTTACCTCCTTCCCGTCCTCCCCCCTCCTCCTCTGTCATCTCTCATATGCACATGGGTGGTGCTGAGCTGGCGTCTCAGCACTGTCCAGGTGGCGGCCTCACGTGCTGCCAGCCTCTCTGCGACCAGTCTGTCCTCGCTAACAGGTGAGGAGAGGAGGAAGTAGGACTAGAACCAATTGGCATCATGTCATGTAATAAATTCCATGGTCTACCAGAGCTCTCAACAACCTATCTCACAGATTTTGAGTGAAATCACCTCATCTTCTCTCCTCATCTTCTCAGTGATAGTCATGTTGCCTCGTCTTCCCTTCTCACTCCGGCGTTCGGCCGTCTTGCCTCATGGTCCATCCGACACTCCTTCGATTCGAACACTCCCCCAATTTCCCACCTTCCTCTTCCTCTGCCTTCCTTCTTTCTGTGATCCAGGCCACGTCATTGCATGGGTGAGCATGGGCATCTGAGCTTGAGGCACTTGGCTCTCATTCCAATGGAGCCATGCGGCAGGGTGCAAGAGGCTTTAACGGCCTTTCTTGGAGTGTGGCAGGGAAGCAGCACGGTGTACAGTCTTCATCAAAGAGAACTCAAGGCTTGAGCTGCTTTTCCGTGCCGATTAGTTTGTCTGGTGTGTCCTCCCTTGTTTCTGCAAGTGCTGCGAGGAACTCCAGGGTGATGGTTGTGGGTTGTGAAGAAGGTTCTGCAAGCTTGGTGCTGTGATGTGTGCAGGCCGCTTGCTAATGACGACATGCAACGCAAAGCAATGTACGATAAGTTACTTCCAGTGCGTGCTTTCAGAACAGATACCGTAAAGTGCCACCTATAGGACCCGGGGGACTCTCTACAAATGCTATAAAAAATGCTAGGGTGGACATTATGGCGGTTGCAAATTTTTAAGACCCGGGGTACACTTATTTATCAGCTATCATTCTGTTTTTTAGGGTGTACGGCTTAATTTGGGGTGGGGGGGGGGATCTTATATTCGTACCGAAAAACAGCCTTCGTGCGCAGCTTTCGCGTGAGCGAGCGGCGCGTCAGATCTGTGTCAGAATTCGAGTCTGACACAAACAAAGTGTCAGAATTCGAGTCTGACACAAAAGGCCTGTCAGAATTCGATTTTTTTGCCAATAAAAGATGACTCACAATAACAATAGCAACTACTGTATATAAAACAGGGGGTCTTATGATGATTAGCTACAAAAGGGGGGTCCTCACAAAACCTGCTGCAATAAGAGTCCCCCTACTTCTTCAAGAGTCCCGGGGACCCTCTTACCGGCGGGTCCTATAGGTGGCACTTTACGGTAGTATATCTTGGCAAACACAGAGAGGAAGCAGTACATAAGCATCAGAGGTTGGGACGTAATATGTAGAGGATGTAATCATGACAAATGATGACAGGGAGAAAACGAGGGGATGCACAGAAAGCATTGTAACAGTTACCGACAGCCACCACCGCGGTTCTCACTCCTGTCATGCCCCACACAGACACAACCCCTCGGGTCCCCTTCACTTGGCTACCCACTTCACGCAATCAAACAAGCAAGCGGGCAGTACAACACAATGAGAACTCTGCATGGTAGCAACCGCAGAAGTAGCAACAGCATAAGTAGCAGCAGCATAAGTAGCAGCAGCATAAGTAGCAGCAGCATAAGTAGCAGCAGCATAAGTAGCAGCAGCATAAGTAGCAGCAGAAAGAGCAGAAGGGGCACAGCAAGGAAGGCAGTGCAGTATAGATCCATCTTTTGCTTCATCACATACGCATGGTGCAGCACACCCATGGCAGCCTCGAGCTCCTCTGCAGCATCTGCTGCATCATCCAGCAACTTCTCCTCCCTCTCAATCTGCTCCTCCTGTAAAGAAACACCCATGGACCCCTTCATCCCTCCGTGCCCCCCTGTCTGCTCCCAGCCGCCTGTCTGTGCCCCATCATGCTGTGCTGTGCCGAGGCGAGCCTTCATGGCTAGCACTGCACGGTGCACGAGGGCGAGAAACTCCGACGCTTTTACCTGCCCGCAGGGCAATGGGGCATGGAGGAAAACGGGAAGCGGGGGGGGGGGGGGGGGGGGGGGGGGGGGGGGGAGAAAGAGGGAGGGAGGTAAACAGAGCAAGTGACAGAGGGTCGGAGGGGGGGAAAGATGGAGGGAGGGAAGTGGAAGGCCGCACCGGGATCCAACATGCACTCCAGGATGAGCTCGCTCGCATATACGTGTAAGCGGGACACACCTCGGTTGCACAAGGATGCCAGCCTCTTATCATCAGCAGCAAACCTAATCGCAAACGTCTCCATCCGCGACCTTCGCTCAAACTTCACCAGTGTCGTTAGCAACAAACCTCAAACCTGTAGGATACCGGTGAACCTCAAACCTGCAGAGAAATTTGAGGTTTGAGGTCACGGACCTCCCTTCACACCAAGACCCCACCATCTGCAGACGGCTCGACAGCCAGGGTAGCAGCCCGCCACAGCAGCAGCCTGGCAGGGCAGGGATAACCACTCAGTCCCGAGCGACTGGGTCAGGTTCCATGGCATGGCCGTTGAGACCTATGGCTGCAGACCTACGGGTACCTCTCGTTCCTCCAGTTGTGCACCCAGCTTGCAACTAAGTGTTGCTGCAATGCCACCCCAAACTCCGTGGAGGCGGAGTAACGCCTGGGCTGCTGCCTGCTCTGGGATGTGACTCTGCAGAGTGCACACGTAACGCCTTGTGCACCAAGACGTACGAAGCACCAGCCCCTCATGTGGCCTGTCTACCCAAAACATTGGAGCCACTAAGTGACGGGTCTCTATTCCACCTCCCAGAGCTCCTTCTGCTCCCCTGGTGTCCAGAGGGGTAGGTAACTAGGAGAGTTGCCGCACCATTTACTTCTTGCTGTACTTGCCATGCTGTAAAACGAAGGACCAAATGAGAGAGCTAAAGGGTGTTCCCCCTGCGACGAGGTGCACAGGGCCCTTAATCACCTGGCCGGCCGGCACGACCATCAGGTGGTTCAATTCAATTCAATGCCAACTTCAACTCAATGCCAACCCGTCCAATCACCAAGCAGCCAACCTCACCAACCTGCTCCACCAGCACCAGCAGAGCTGGAAACTCTCCCTTGTGCGCGCGCACGCCATGCGCTTGCACATCACGGCCAACAAGGCCACTGAGGCTCAGCATTCCACGGTTGGCTTACTAACACATTCGTTAGGCCAGGGAATGCATTTGCCATTCAGCTTTTAAGAATTCCCAGAAACCAACGAGCGACCCGCGGTGAAGTCACCCAAGAGAGGTTGATGTTGCACTGACCTCGAGGGGGGATGCATGTCCCAAATACTCTGTGATGTAGAACTCCCTCACAGCCTTGCTGCGTGTGTGCAGCAGCACACTGAGGCCTCGCTTCGCCTCCCTGCGACTCCTCTCCAGAGGTGGCAGCTCCTTCTGAAGCCGCCCCCTTGCCTGACAAGAAGGGGAGGGGGGGGGATGTTGTGAGAGATGGTATGAGAATAGAGTGGAATGATTCGGACAGCAGGTTATGAATAGGGCGGAGGGTGGGGGGTGGAAAGAGAATGCTATGAGAGATGGTGAGGAAGGATGCTTGAATGAGATGACGGAAGTGTGTGTTTGAAACGCTGGAACCACAGAATGCAACAAGTGCAGTCTTATCTTAAGAATACAAGCGAGGGAAACCAACGCTGCTTTTCATACTGCACACCTCTACAGACAGAATAACTGTGTGCATTACTACGATAGCTCATTGGCAACTACATGACAGCCACTTCACTTCAATATCACAGCCCCTCTCCAGTGTGCTTACCTCTAGAAGGAGTTGCCTTAAGGTTGCAGTGACACGAACAGCAATCTTCACTCCGTCCACCTCCTCTCGCTCATCTCCCTCCCTCGCTTTCCTGCACCCTCTCTCAAACCCTCCCTCCTTTCCGGACCAAGCATCAGCACCCTCGTTCCCCTCTTCCTCAACCATCCTCTCCACATCAAGCTCCCCTCCCCCCTCGCTCTCCACCTCCTCCTCATCCTCCTGCTCCTGACCCTCCTCGGCGACCGACCCTTCAGCTCCACCCCGCTCTTCAGCTCTCTCTCCGCTGGCACCCTCCCTTTCCTCCTCCCATTCTTCCTCTCTCCCCTCCCCAACCTCCGCCTCCCAATCAGCAATCGCACCTCCACCAACGCGTCCTGCAGGCTCGCATCCTGTAAGCTCCACAAGAGAGAAGACGCTGTGCTCTGGGGGACGAGTATCCACACCAGGCACCCAACCCTCATTCGCATTCGCTTGAGGCGAATGTGGCACATTTGCACTCTTAACCAGCCTCTTCTCCACGTTGAACCTTCGCAGCTTCACAATCCATCGGCGCCGATGAATAAAGGGAGAGCCTTTTCTCCGGAGCACAATCCACGGGTCACCCAGTTTGAACATGGCCCACGAAAAGCGGTCGTGCAATGCATTGGGGTTGAGCCCATTGCCGCCCAAAACAGCAGAGAATTCGGTACGAATCACGTGCGGGAGCTGATGCAACAGCGACCCGTTGGAGCGCCAGAGGTCACGGAGGAAAGCGGCCGTGCTGTTGTGGAAAGCTGGGACATTGGCTGATGAAGCGAGGAAGAGGGTGAGGAGACGGAGAAAGTGCGGGGAAGAGTCACCAGCAGCCTCAGAACTTGACCACCTCAGCTGCTGTAATGAGCCATGCTGCTGAAGAAGGGACTTGATAAGCCCGTGTAGGCAAGACAGCTGGGCTTTGAGCTGATGCTCACTGCCTGGAGAGATTCCGAACAGTGACTGGAGCAGGAGGGTGCAGAGAGCAGAGGCGTGGTGGTTATCCAGGTGAAGAGAAGCAAGGGAGGTGGGGACGATGAAGTTTCGGAGCTTGGTGATGGCTGCAAGCACGTAAGTCACTTCCCTTTCAAGCACGTACCCAGCGGCAGTAAGGAGGAGGGAGATATCGCCGCTAGGTTGCCCGGGATTGCGGCTCTGCAGCGGAGCAGAAGAAGCAGAGAGGAAACGACAAATCAAAGCGCAGAAGCTGAGGGAACTAAAACTGTTAGAACCAATGTAAAACGAATGACATACGTGTCAAGCAACAGCAGTGAACAGCAACATCAGCAGCAGCACAAGAGGCAACAACAGCAGTGAACAGCGAACACCCACTCACAGTGAGCGCCTCCAGGAGAGCAGCCACCCACTCGGTGCTGGCAAGAGTGACGGCAGCGCCATGGCTGTGCTGCTGCTCAAGGAACAACCGGACGGCATCTTCATGCACCACTGCTCTCAGCACCGCAGCGTGCACATTAGGCAGGCTGGACTGCCTCTGCAGCAACTCCCGGCCGTACCTGTGCACCCATCTGGAGCCCAACAGCGGCAGCACTAGCAGCAAGTCCCCCAAGAGACCCAAAAGCACAGGCTCGTGCATGTCAGACCCCAATCCATTTAAACCCCACCGGACTCCTTCCTTGTCCCGCGTGACCCCGTCCTGACGTGTAGCCCCATCCACGCATTGTGCAAGCAGCCTGAGAGCCCAGCAGTGCAGCACCAAGGCAGTGCTCTCCTGCGCTCGCACCTCCGCAGCCAGCAGCGCCAAGTCACGGGGAAGGGGAGCGCCCACCGGCATCACATGCTGCAGCAGGCGCTGGGCCAGGCTGTCCTGCAGCCGCTCTAACATGCTCGCAGTGCCCTCCAACTCTCGTGCCTCTGCCGACTTTTGACCATTTCCCTCTTTTGATGAGACGCAGTCCGTTGTGGAGTGACTGTGGGGCCGTTGAATGGCCTTTGTGGCGCCATTGCAGCACTGTAGGGCTCGTTCCAGCATCTCAAGGCACTGCACGAGCCACTTGCACTGCAGACGCAGTAACGCTGCATGGGATATCCCTTCCCTCTCACCCCCCTCCTGCTGCTGCTCCTGCTGCTGAACCTTATGGATCTTGCATCCTCCCTGAGCCACAGGCCCTGGTACCTGTCGTCCCATTCCTCGCAACATAAGTTCGTTTCCAAGCCCCATCTGCTGCAACGCCACGCTCGACCTGCACATGGCTACGTCCAAGACCTGCAGGCAGCTTTGCACCACAGCCACCACCTGCCTGGCCCAGTAAATGGCACCTGCCTCAGCTGCAGCCTCCCTTGCTACCTCCCCACGAGTGCCCTGATTGGGCAGGCGGGTCACGGCAGCACGCACAGGCAGAAGCCAGGCAGCACTGGACAAACCCACCAGGATAGAGTGGGCAGGAGGTGCAGTGTGGGCTGCAGTGGACACACCCCCTACTGTACCGGAGGCAGTGGGGGGTGTGGCGGCAAGCAAGTGGAAGGCTGCATCCAGCCAGGGCTGATCTGCTGGCACCTCTCTCCTCCTGCGCAGCCGCTGCAGCGCCGTCACCATTCGCTCGGCCCTCTCACTCCAGTCACCCCACCAGCGCTGCACCTCCTCCACCTGCGCCACCAGCTGCTGGAAAACGCCTGGCCAGGATTCCTCTCTCGGCTGCTCACTCCTCTCGTCTTGCTGCATACCCTGTTGTCCGCCTCTTCCCAAGGGTTGCCTCCACCCACCTACGCTGGCGGGCTGTGGGCGACGCTCTGTGTTCAACGGAGGGGCAGCGGTGCTCGTGAGAGGGGAGGCAGAGGAGAGGGAGGAGAAGGTGTGCGAAAGAAAGTTGAATTTCTGCACGCTCAACTCCAGAGCCTTCCAGCTGCTCAGCACTTCAGCAGCAATGCTTCGCCCCCCTTCCCAATTTGCCAGCCGACACCACAATGTTTCTATGTCTCCCATGTCATCCCTTAGCTGAATCCTCTCGCGCAGCAGCAGCAAGGTCAGAACCTCCAAGCCCTGCTCTGCATCCACCTCCCTCTCGCCTTCCCTTGCTCCTTCTCCCTGCACTGCACTCCCCACTTTCTCACTCCGACCTAGACGCCCTGTTTCCTGTCTCAGCCAGATGGCAACGGCCAGCTCCAATGCATTCCAGCTCTCCCCCTTGCTGCGCTTCTGGCCTTCCTCCCCAACTCCCTCAAACCTCGCCGCTGCTCCTTTTCCAATCCATTTCCTCACTTCTGTCCTCCAGCTCCAACTGCTCCCGCCCGTGTTCAGCTGCGTGAACTCACCCACATCCTCATCCTCATCCTCTTCCTCATCTTCATCCACTCCTCCCTCTCCTCTCTTTGCGCTGCTGCTGCAATTCAGGGGCCACCCGTTGTTCCCATTCGCCCACATGCTGGAAACACGGGCAGCTTCCATTGCACAATCGAACGCCCTGCCCCACATCTTCTGCTGAACAAACATTTCAGCTGCCCCCAACATATCGCCCTTCTTCAGTTTTGCTGCGGCTGCCTGCTCAAAGTTCCCCTCAACCACCTCGACTTGCAACAGCTCCTCAAACAAGTCTCTTCTCTCCAAGAACCGCCGCTTCTCTGCTGCGGCTGGGAACTGGAGCACATACTTCATCATCTTGCACCTCTCCTTCTTCCGATAGAAGAACTTCGCAGCGTCACGCAGGAAAGCAGAATTCAGCCGTGTGACCAGCTCCTGCCGCAGCGTCCACTCACCGACTTTCAAGGGAGCACATGCAACAGAACTGCTCTCCCTTGCAACCTTTTGAACGCTCCCCCTTTCCCATCCGGCCCTTTCTAAGTCCCATGCGTTCCTGCCACCTGCTGCTGCAGCTGAGAGAGGAGGCGGAGGCAGTCCACTGCTGCTACTGACAGACATGTCCCCGCTCACCCACTGCTGCGACTGATGCTGCTCCTGCTTGTCCTTCCCTTTCACCGCTCTCAGCCCATCTGCAATCTGCGCCTGCCAGGAGTGAATGAGCGAGAGACCTAGGTTGTAGAGTCTGGCCTATGAGCACACGGCTAGAGCGCGTTCCACAAGCCACGCCTGGGCCAGACACTCGGCAGCATCTGAGGCCGTTCCGGCCTGCAAGTAGCATGCTGCGGCCCTCTCCCACTGTGGCGGCTTGCACATATTGCGGTACATGGCAGCTGCTTTGACAGACACGGAAAAGGGGCAGGGAAGGAAAAATGGAAGGGAAAGGACAAGCCAGTTGTTGCGTTTTCAAGTTTAAAAAAAGGTGCAATTAGGAATTCATGGGCAGTTGAGCAAAAAAAAAAAAAGGAAATGGTAATGGAACTTAAAGGGAAAAGGAAAAGGAGGGAAAACGAAAATGGAAGAGAGAGTGGGAAAGGGAAGAGAGGGAGAATGGAAGGAGAAGGGAAGAAGGACAAGAGGTGATTAAACTTGAAGCATTTGATTAAAAAGGAGAAAGGAAAAAACAACTCAAGTGTGCAAGGGAAGTTGGTTGTGCACAAGAGGCAGTCAATGACAGCTCGTTTCCAAAAATGCTTCTCATGATGTGAGCGTATCACTCCCAGATTAAGAAAACGATCTCACGCCCATTGCTCCCGCACCACATGCATTCCATTCCATGTCTCCGTATTCACCCGCACCAGCTCCCTTCCTCTCCCTCACTTTCCCTCCCCGGTATAACCTGCTTGTTCCATCTCCCCAGCGCTCGCGAGACACCCTGCAGCGTCCCTCGGACGGTCAACCGCCAGAAATGCCTGCGTGGCTTCCAGGAAGGTTCGACAGGCCTGCCGGTGGTCTGTGCCTTGCTGCCTCTTGGCCGTCTGCTGCAGCAGTGCCGCGTGTGCCACTGCTGCTCTGCGCTCGTCCCCCGCCCTCTCGAAACTCATCTTTGCTGCCTCAAACTGCCCAGCGTTGAACATCTGGAGCAAAGAGTTACAGACAGGGAAATGGGGCGGAATGGAAGACGGAGAGATGATGGGTTGGGAAAGGGAAAGGGAGAGGAAACATGGCAGATGAGAGAGGATGACATTGGATGCTTACAAAGCTCGAATTGCTGCAGAATGAGGTGAAAAAGGGTACAGAGAGGAGAGGGAGAAGAGAACGTGAGGGGAGGAGTAATAGACACACAAGTATTCATAAGGCAAAGTGTTCTTACAGGTAAGTAACAACAGCATGCCATGCACGTGCATGCACTCACCTCGAGGCCCCGTTTGTGCCATTTCTCGGGTGAGGACTCTGTGTGCATGGACGCAATAAGATCGTTGGTCAGTGGGCGCACCACCACCAACCCCATCGCCTCCCACAGGTCCATGGCCGGCTGCCTTGCCGCCTCATCCTCCTCGTAGATCCACAGCCGCTGCCGCGCCCGTGTGAGCACCACGTACAGCTGCTTCAGCTCGCTGCACAGCAGGTTGTGCCTGCGATGGGAGGGCGACAGGTGGACAAGGGGGCAGAGGAGGGGGGAGAAGTATTGGAAAAGAGCGAAAAGGGAGGATATGTGAGGATATGTAAGCGACTGCGGGGGCTACGACTGAGGTAGCAGTACGTGCAGCTGCTTCAGATTGCTGCATAGCAGAATGTGCCTGGGGGAACGGCGTGGGAAGACACGAAAGAGAAACACAGTTGAAGGCACAAGAAAGGGGATCACAAAGAAGAAGGTACAAAGCAGTCCTAAGGGTCAAGTTGTACAAATCTTTCCATGTGGTAAGGAAGGAAAGGCGGCACATGGCACAACACAACTGATGTAGTTCCCAAATTATGTCAAGTCAAAAAAATCCAAGACGACTTTCTTGACGAGTCAGCAAAGGTGGCACAAGACACAACCCTTTAGAAAATCACTGCAATCAAGGGCAACGTTTTGTCACCTCTTTGGGTCGAAGGCAGGGCACTGCCACTGACTGGAGGAGCTCCCTTGTGCTGAGGGTATGAGGTGGTGCTGCCGCATGTAGTCGTACAGCAGGCGCCAGCCCGAGGCGAGCAGTGAGTGAGAGAAGAAGTTGTAGATCAGAGCATCCTGATTGTGAAGGTCGAAAATGTGGGAGGAGGTGGATGGGGAGATACAAGTTGATGCAGGTGCAGCTGATGCACTTCGAGACCCAAAGAACAGGAAACTCGGGTTTTGTTCAATAAGAAAAGGTGGTCACTTGGGGTATGTATTGGGATTCTGGCTACTATAAGAAAAAATAAGATACAAGAGCATGGCATTAATGGGTGTACACAAGTGGGAACTTTCTCTCCTCTTTCATACTAGCTGCACCGCACTGGTCCACCCATGCACCTGGAATTCCAAGCCCTTGCACTCGTGCACGCTGAGTACGAGCCCCCGTAAGCCAGTGCGCTGCACCAGTTGAGTGCGCCGCTCCGCGTCTCGCACTAGAATGACCTGACGAGGGGGAGCCACGAAACGAAGTCGCACAACCGAATGACTATGGATTCGCATTTTGAAGCTGGCACGTGAATCGATTTCCTGCTTTGCCCTTTTCCATAATACACCCCTTTGACTCGTTGCACTTCCACACTTCCATTGACCCCCCCCTTTCCCAACCAACCACTCCCCCAGCCGTTGATTTCTTCAACCCCCGCCTCCTCTCTCATCTTCCCCTCCCTTCACTCTCTCATTTCCGACTGTACGTCCCCCTTCATTCATACCTGTTCAGCGCCGAATTCACACCCTCCTCCTCCAATGCCTCCCCGCTTCCCGAACAGCTGTGCCACGCGGTCATGGCTGCCGCCGGACTGGAGGAACACGGGAGGCTCGCCCTGCTGCTGGCTGAACTCGGGCTGCAAGCGGTCGACGGAGTGGGGGAAGAAGTGCAGCAGCACGCGCACCACGCTGTCTGCCACTCGCACAATGCCGCTGTGCGACCGGAAGTTCTGCAACAGAAACTGCAGGTCCGGCATCTCACTGCAAGAGGAACGATCCTCCACTGGGCCCACGCGTGCATCCTCCTCTCCCCCATTCCTGGTGCCTGCAACCTTGTCAATAACTTCTTCTGCTGTGACTCTCCCAGTGAGCACCCCTGATGAACCCTTCGACGAGCCCGCACAGGGCTTCCTACCCCCCGCCTCCTTTCCCGCGCTTCCCTCCCCTCGAGCCTCTTCCTGAATCCTTTTCCCTCTGGCCGACTGCCTTTGCCTCCCTCGCAACTCTATTGCCCTCGCCCACCTCCCTTGCTTCTCCCGCACACCCCCAGTCCCACCTTCACACCCTTCTTCCTTCTCCTCACCGATCCTCCCACTTTCCACAATCCCCCTGCCACTAACCCCACCACCAGCCTCCCCTCGCCCTGCATCCACTTCCTCATTCCTCTCCACCCCACCTGCAACAGAGGCAACTGCCCCTTTTCCCAGAAACAGCTCGTAGAAGAGTCGTCGGACGTCTTGAAAGCGAAAGTCCACCCCGCGCGCGATGGTCTGGGCAGTGTCACCGGCAAAGAAGAACCCAGTCGCGACATTGGAGCAGAGGAACTGCAGGATGGCGATTTGCGCCTGCGTCAGGTCCTGCACCTCGTCCACGTACACGTACTGAAATGGTGGCCCTGCAACGACTTTCCCCCCACCACCATCAGCCCTGGTTATCCCTATTGCAGTTGACGAAACGCCAGGCCGGCTGCAATGCGGAGGAGTGCTGGCGCTACCGTAGGCAGTGCCTGCCGCAGCCGCAGCAGCCGCAGCGGGGGTCCACAGGCGTGTAGCCCCTTTCTCCAGCTGCTTGTACACATGGAAAACGTAGTCACACATGTCATAGTCCCCTCTCTGCCGCTTCAGCCTCTCGTACTGCAAAAAGAGGCCGTACACGGCTGTGCGCTGCTCCTCGTTCAGGCTCGACGTGCGTGTGCGCGCCAGCAGCACGTAGTCCTGCAGAGATACCCGGCCGTTCGATGTCCTGAGCGCGTGCAGGGAGCCTTTGATGTGGGAGAAGATCTCCTTGAACACACCGGACGCGTCGAGATGACGAGTGGTTGCTGCGTTGAGCCACGGCCAGTAGACTGCCTCGAACCGCTCGTAGTCAACCTCCTCTGCAATCCATGGGGCAGCAGTTCCGCTGCTGCTGCTGCTCTGTTGAGAATGCTGCTGCTGGTGGGTATTCCAGTGGTGCTAGTTCTAGTGCTACCGCTGACGCATTGCAGCCTCCCCCCACGCCACTTGTGTACACTAAACAGCTCCGCCTCATCCTCTTCCTCATCTTCATCCTCACTATAGTCATCCTCGTCATTCTCATCCCACGCTGCATTCATGCCACCAGGCAAGCCGTTACCACTCCATGGACCTCCCCTAGACCCTCCTCTGCCCCATCCACTGCCCGTGCTGCTCCCTTCCGTCTGAAACGGGTGTGACAGCGTGGCATTCACCATGCTGAGAAGCTTCTTGAATGTGAGCACGAGAGGGAAGGCAGCAGGCGCCACTGAATCCAGAGCCTCTGGTAGGTCGCCCAGAAGTTTCTCCTCTGCTTCCTCCAACAACAGCAGCTCATCTTGCTCCTCCTCCCCTGAAGGTTCCGACTGTTTTTCTCCCTCCCCTCTCCCCGCGCGTCCCTTGGGCAACCAGGCACCGCCATGCTCCTCTGCCTGCAGCATAGTCCTGCCAGAGACGGGAAAGACAGCACAATGGAAGGAGACAAACAGGGGGAAAATAGGGAACGGGAGAGGAGATCTGAAGAGGGGACAGGAAATGTAACGAGTTTAGTAGCTAGGGATTTGAGAATTCTCAAAAAATAGCTAGGGATTTGAGAATTCTCAAAAAATAGCTAGGGATTCGAGAATTCTCAAAAAATAGCTAGGGATTTTCAAGGAGCTTCATGGCACAGCACCTATGGCCAGGCCCCACGTACCTCGTGGCCTTGTTCACATAGCGCTTAATAGCAGCACACAGGCGTGCACTCGGGGTCACAACCACTTGCCGCAGTCCACCCTTTTCCTCCTCTCCCTCCCCCGCACTCTTCCCTTCACCCTCGTCTCCCTCACTCTCCTCAAGCTCCTCACATGCCCCCCAGCCGCCCTGCTCTCTGCCAGGCCAAGGGCTGCTTCGTCCAGTGTGTGCATGAGTCAGAAGGCGCCTCTCGCCCATGGCGCGGCGGAACGTGTGCTCCAGCAGCAGCAGGCGGTGGGTGATCACTGTCGTCTTGCCCGTGCCTGGGCCCGTCACAAGAAAGAGGGGATGGGCGACCAGGAGGAAGAGCAAGCGTAGGTTATACACGCCTTGTTGGAGTGAAGTATCTTTGGCTGACTCACACGGTGGCACTAACAGTATTGGAGGGGATTGGAGGAGGTTCAGTTTGCGATTGAAAGAGGAAAAAAAGACTGGTGCGCCATATTTTTTTGTAGGTTGATTTTGATAATTCTCAAAATCAACCTACAAAAAAAGGAAGGGCAGATTGCTTGCTGCAACTGGCCTAACACATTTAGTCGTGACTGCTGCGCAGTAACGCCCTTGTTTAAGTTACCTAACCAAGCATGACCAACCACGCCCACCTGATCGGCCGAGCACAAAAGCAGTGCAGTTGGAGTGGACTATCGCAGCTTGCTGCTCATTCAGCTTGAACAGCCACTCCCCGGGAACTGCGGCCATCAGGTGCTGGGCGGAGCCTAGAGAAAGCGGATAGAATTTCATCAGCAGTACGTTTTCATCCACTGGTGCTCACTCCGTTATGACAGCTGATTCTGGGTCTGAGGCTGAGAGAATATGAGAGGGCAAGAGAGGGAATGGTTGGATTGGGGAAGGTTTGAGACGAGCAAAGGGCAGAAGGAAAATATCAAGAAACATTTAACTGATTGAAGGCTAACGGTGTAGCTTGCTCGTGCTGATGTTAGTTGCCTCCCTTCCATCATTCACACCAGATAAAAAAGGAGAAAAAAGAACAAACTGTACCAAGCGAGCAAGTTAATATGTTATAAACGACTCAGATTCACAGAAAAATGAAGCACCTGGCAGGTGGTGGATCTGCTGCCCCCTCCACCACTCAAAGGGAGCATGCCTGCTGAACTGGCGAGGATGCACCCTGCGAGCGGAGCCCGGTGCGCTTGCGGCGCAGCGGTCGAGGCGCTGGTCTGAGAATGAGGCCAAACCTTTCGCCAGGCGGTGCAGCCACGGCAGCACCCCGCGCTCTGGCACCACGTCCCACACCTTGATCATCTGTGAGGAGGGCAGGGGCATAGGGGGGGCGGGGGTGGGGGGTGGTGTGTTTGGGGAAGCGAGACAGGAGGAAAAAAATGGGAGCAAGTGAAGTTGAGAGGCAGGCAATGAGAAATGGGTAGCTTAGCGCCCGCCATCCGCCATGCAATGGAGAAAGCTCTGCCAGCCAGCCACCAGGGGGGGTGCAGTGCGCAGCGGCGGCGCAGGTGCCCAAGCCTCAGTAAGACACAAAGGCCCGTTATTTCTACTAAGGTGGCAGAGGCAGTAATCAGGAAGCTTTTTGCAAGAAGAGGAAGCACTGCATAGGGAATCGGCCTACACAAGGGAACAACTGCATGGAATGGAATGAATCTGCGTTCAAGGCCCTTTAGATTAATATTCAGCACACAGGATGAACAAGATACATCAGCACATCCCAAAACCGTATAGTAAACTGCACACAAACCTCTGAGGCCTCGATGGGAAGGTGCTCACCTGCTGGTAAGACTCTGGGCAGATGTCAATGGTCCAGATGAGGAAGGCGCGCCCCACAGGCTGCACATGAATGATGTCGTGGTAGCGCGGGTCGCTGAGCTCGTGCCGCGGCCGCGTGTCCCACTGCGGGCGGTGGCCCTGCATGAGGCGCCGCACTGCGTTGATCACCTCCAATGACGGCGCCTGCCGCATGCTGCGCTGAAACTCCTGGCTGAACGACGCCTGCCGGTAGTGGGCAGCAGGCGGCCAGCAGGCACGACGCAAAGGTGCAGAGAGAAGAGAATCCGGAAGGCAGAAGATGGGAAGGGAGGGAAAGGTAAAGAGAGAGAGCCCACAGAAGCAGCACGGGTCAAATTTGCAACCAGCACTGCACTGTCACTGATCGTAAAAGTCCACATAAGTCCAACGGCCACAGAACCATAGCCTACTATGGTTGCAACAAAAAAATCTCCCGATGTTGTCTGATTCAACCGTAAATAATTTCCTTACCTAAGCTCCCCTGATCACGTACCCCGCCCCGTGCACAGCCCCTTTCATCATGCCCCCCTGTGCTCACCTCGCTTATCACCCTCCCATAACTCACCTCCCAGTGCAGGCCGGCCCAGAGCCCTGAATGGGGCTTCAGCAGCTGCTGTGCCTCCCCCACTTGCACCCACCGCCTCTCCACAGCTCTTGCCAGTCCTTCATCGCTCCCAGCCTCCACCAGGCACCTGCGCCCCTCTGCATCCTGCACCAGCTGCGCCCACATGCTGTCTCCCCTTCGAAGCGTGTGTGCGTCGCCCACCACCCACAGAGCATGGCGCGCACGGGTGATGGCCACGTTCAGACTGGCTCGCCCGGGGTTGTGGCAGGAGAGAAAAAAAGGAAGAAAGAGGTTGTGTTAAGAACAAGGGGGGGGAGTTGTTGAGGGTGAACGACATGCCATGCAATGAAACAAAATTGGAAAAACAAACAAACAAATAATAAACAAGATTGGGGGTTTGTTGAGGGCTTAAAAAAAAAAGGGGGGGGGGGGGGGGGGGGGGGGGGGACTGAGGGGTTTGTTGAATGTAAACAAGATACAAGAAAAAAAATGTCGTGATGAGAAAAAAAAATAAAAAAAAAAAAAAAACTGGTTGGAAAATCCAAGCTTGCCATTTGTCAGCCCGTAAACAACGAGGTATAAATCTGGTGCCAATCCTTCCTGACAGTCACTTTGACTCCTACCATACCGTGCAGAAGAGGAAAACCAGCAACAGTGAAAACAGGGCCACAACAAACCACGCAGATACTAACATACCGCCTAGGATCCGCAACAAATCCGATGCTTCTCGAGCTGTTGGAGCGAACGGTGCTGACGACAATAACGTCACACTCCCTGCCCTGAAACCCATCTACTGTGTTAACTTCCACAGTCAGGGAGGGCCACGGCTTGGCCTCCACGGCGCGCTGCAGCAGCTCCACCTGGCGGGCGTATGGCGAGATGAGCCCCACCTTCACCGGCCCTCCCTCCTTGCCTCGGCATGCTGCACACCGTGAACGGGACATCAATGCCCGCCGGTATGTGCCACGTGGCCATGTGGGGTTGTGGAGATGGGAGTGAAGCAAACTCGACTAAGAAATGAGAATTTCTGAGATGCTGCATGGCTGCAAACGGGGTGAGAATCGAGACTAAGGATTTCTGAGATGCCCATGGCAGGCAGGGGGGGTAAAGCGGAAATGGACCACGGTCAAGGGGAGGGCATGCACGCATGGCAGAGATCAGAGCTCAGAGTGCACCTGCGGAGAGGCGGGTGAGCAGAGCGATCACGACGGCAGCTTCAACTGAGTTGGCAACGCTGCGGCTGCCTGCATCCACAGCCACAGAGTCCCTCTCCTCGCGCCCCCTCACATGGAAGAACCTGTACGGGCCAAACAGCAGATGCAGGTGCGGCGGGCAGTGCGAGGGCAGGCACACGTTGAGGCCGTCCTGGATGCGGCGGTGGTAGAAGCAGTGCGAGGGGAAGCGGGTGATGTCGGGGTGCATGCGGTACTGCACGCTCAGCACCTCTGCGTGCCACCCCGCCCTCTGCACGCGCTCCCACACGCTGCGCTTGTACTGGAGTGGCCTTGCACTGCCACCTGCGGGTCAACGCCCAGGAGGATTAAGGCACGGAAGGCGGAAGGAACAGGAAAGACAGAGGCATATAGGTTATGATGATAGGGATTGGATTAGTAGGTGTGATATGCAAGCCATTTGTAGGTGGGTCGGACTGGAGGTCCCATTCCTCATGCATGAGCATGCCCTTGATACATGCACACACACACACACACACACACACACACACACACACACACACACACACACACACACACACCCATACACAAACATGACTGTTTACTCTAGCAACCTCATATTTGTGAAAGATTTTTCAGAATTCTCGAGAATCTGGCCACCAGTCCGCCTATGCTATTGCCTGCCAACCAACACCACTATCCATGCCTGCCACATCGCTTTTAAAGCCGGGGGCGCACTGACCTTGCTCATGACGGTAGCAGGCAGCTGCTTTGGGTCCCCCACCAGTACGGCATAACGCAGCCCGCGCGCCTGCAGGGCCACCAGAGACTCCGCCTCCACCAGCTGAGCCGCCTCATCCAGCAGCAGCAGCGGGAAGTGACCCGAGCAGCGGACGAGAGCGCGGGCAGAGGAGGAGACGGTGGAGAGGACAAGGCGTGCGCCTGCCACGCACTGAGCGGCTACGGTGGCAGCTGACGGGTTGCTGCTGAGGGTGGGGATGTGGAAGGCGGGGCTTTGCTTGCCGATGTGCTTCAGATGGCGGCGGATGGAGTAGAAGAGGCGCTCGGCTTGCGAGAGAGAGATGCATGCATCCCTGGTTGAGCTGCTGGCGGCAGTGGAATTGTTGCCTCTAGCAGAAGACTCACTGGTGCTGGCAGTGGCGTTGGCAGCGCCTTGATTGCTGATGGGTCCTCTTGTTCCCAACCTAAGCATCCTGCCAGCCCAGGAAGAGGTCTTCCTGATTCCGCCACCCCTGTAAATATCCTCAAAAGGTGCAAGAAGCACAGCAGCCTCGTGTAGAACTGAGGACACGCTGAAGTCGAAGCCATCCTCCTCCTGTGTGTGTGACCCATCAAGCCAGCTTATCAAGGCATCCGATGAGAGCCCTGGGTAAAGCAGAAGATGCTGCAAGGCTGCCAACAGCTCACCCGCCTGCAGCAGCAGCACACGCTCGTGCTCTGGCAAAAGGGCGGAGGGCAGATCGTAAGCCAGGCTCACCGCGCCCTCCACAGCCGGATCAACAAGCTGAGCCACACGCTCCTGGAAAAACTCAAGCAGGTTTGGAAGGCTTTCTGTCCCTTTCTTGCTTACCATCTTGCTATTTTTCCAGCCAGGATCCTCTTTGATCCTTATCTCCAACACCTTTAAGTGTGTCCGGTGGACCCGACTCATTTCCTCAGCAGAGGTCTCAAGCAAGCTCATCAGCGTGAGCACAGACGCCCTCCAGCCTGACTGCAAAGACAAAGCTCCCAGCAGCCGCGCTACCCGCCCACAACACACACCCCCCTTCCGCTTCGGAAATGCCCCGAGCTCCCTCCTCCTCCCTTCCCCCAGGAGAATCAAATCCAGCTCTGGGTCTACCACCAGCCTGTGTTCATTCGCCACCAGGACAATATCTCCAACGTGCAGCCGCCCTCCAGCCGAGAAGGCCTTCTCAAACTGAAAAGGCCATCCGTCTGGAAGCCGCTGCTGCTGCTGCTGTGACTGGTAGTAGGCTGAGAAGTGGGAGGACGGGTCAGGGGAAATAGCGAGGCGCAGCATTCGCCTGGCGACTTCAGCTGCGGCCACGTTGGTGGGCGCGCAGACAAGAGTGCGAACACTAAGAGCAAGCGCAACAGAGAGGAGCACGGAGAGCGTGTGGGTCTTTCCTGTGCCGGGCGGGCCTTGCACAAGCTGCAGCAGAGGAGGAGCCGCACCGAAGAGAGAGGAGGAGGAGGACGGCAACGACAAAAAGGATGAGGAAAAGGAGACGGTCGAAATGGGGCCAAGAGGAAAGGACAAGTTGCTGGTAGGAGCAGCGTCAGTGCTGGCTGAGAGGAGGCCTCTAAGGCAAGTGAGGACTGCGGATCGCTGCGGATGGTTAAGACGACGTGACGTGCAGAACTGAGAAACTGCTTTCAGGAGGTGTGCAGGAGGCAGTGCTTGCGCTGCCTTTCCCTAGCTCCGCCGCCTCAAGAACCGGGTCATGCAGAGCAACCCACACACGCTGTGCTGTTGCCAAGCTACCCACCGAGGTCACATACCACAACGCACCACCTGCACACACCCCCCCGTCCACTGCCCCAACCAGGCCCTGATACTCGGGCGAATCCTCTGGAGTGCATATCCTGGCCCGGAAACAGCGATCGCGGTCTCCATCCTCCTCGGACGAGTTTCTCTCAGCAACAAGGACAGCAAGGCGATACATCACCCCTGCGCGGAGCAGATCCGTGGGGGCAGAGGGGGCTACAGTGGACAGCAACACCACATCTGTGGGTTTCAGCTTTGCTGCACATCCCCACTGCAGCCTCGCTGCTGCCCCCGCGGCCCCTGCAGACTGCTGCTGCTGCACTTCAAAGCGCACATAGCAGAATGTCTCCGTTTCAGAGCACGTCGTCGCCGAGTGTGCCTCCCCTGCGGCGCCTCCCAGCTGCCATCTGCACCGACCAATCGGCTGGCCATGTGGCGCCATGTGCCACAGTGGTGCGACCTCATCCAATGCACTAACGTGCACTGAACTCCCATACGCCTCGCCCTGGAAGTAGTCGTCATCACCAGGGTAACTCACAAACTGCCGCTGCCAGTCATCCCTCTCCACCTCGCCGCATCCATCCGCTCTCGCTGCCCGCCTATCACCACCCTTCTGCACCGCTTTGACCACGATCCGTGTGGAGGCGGCGGCAGGCAGCTGCTCAAGGCCACGCTTGAGCCCCACACGGCACTCTTCCAGCAGGGGCCAGCGGAAGGCAGACAGGTACGAGGGTATATCCGGGAAGGTGGTTGGTATGGGCCGTACCTGCAGCACACAGGACAGCTCCAGAAGAGATTATGAAAGTAGAGAGGGGTTTGGGCGTGGTGCGGATGGCAAGCATGGATCAGGTTCCAGTTAGAGTAGACAACGGTGATAGAATCTGACCGTGGATCAGGTGCTAGAGCGAGCCTGTGGGGAAAGAAAACCAAGCTCGCTGCAAAAAGCAGTCAGGCTAATCAAGCGCCACAGGTGCCAACCGCCACAGGCCACTCACAAATCGCATGTCATTTCTCCATGAAGTCAGCCTTCTTGTCGGCTCACCTTCTCTCGGAGCAGCTCGTCGTTGAAGATGTCCTCGATGCTCCACGTCAGCACGAGCTGCTCCAGCTGGCAACCCCGTGTTGGCAACACTACATCCTTCCCTGCCATGTGGCGCTGGGACCCTCGAATTCACGGACGCCCTCTTATCTTGGGAGATGGCTCCCAGATTTCGCTTGCAATCCACGACTTTGACGGCGAATCCAACAGGTTAGACGGTTTCCAAGTAACGGTGCAATACCGCGCACGAGCCTCGGAGCCTTCGCTCAAGTGCGAGCCTCGGAGCTTGGAGCCTCGGAGCTTTTGCACAAGTGCGAGCGCGGAAACGATAGAAACTCTTTGAGTCGTCCGCTCAGAAGTGGCTTTATCGGCCGCTAAAGACGCACCCAGGGAGGCTGAACGGCGAGATATGACAGCGAGAAACCGAGAAAATGCCACAGAACTAGAGGCCAATAGTTTCGCTTAAGAACATGTGAGGAGTAAGCCAATAACAAAGACGTGTTGTTCCCTCTCGGAGTCATCGTGCACGCTTCTGCCGAATCCCCCTTGCTCCGTGCATTGCGGCTCGAACCTTGTTCATGGAACGGAATGCTAGGGACTCGCGGAGACGCGAAGTTGAGCGAAGGCGTGAACTAGGAGTGAGGGAACCAGAGGGACGATAACGGAGCATGATGGCATGCCTTCGTCGCGGCCACTGAGGTGGTCCGTAGAACCCTCTGGCTGGGCCAATAGTCGAACGGTTTCTGTTGAAAGGCGCCATGCATGAACGGCGCTGCGGAGAATGCCAAGACGACGCACGATATTGCAGAATCTCACGGGGAAAGGAGCCAGTGGGTAGTATTGTACGAAGCTGACTCGGAAGGCGGAAGAGGTTGCTGGTGCGATTCGTGATTAGGAGGGTGGTGCGAAGCGAATGGAAGGGCTGGTGCGGTAGGGAGAAGGATCTGGTCGGAATTCCCAAGGTGATCTAGGCGTTCGTTGGGCGTGAAGGTGGCCGCGTTCGACGGGAATGTAGCGGATGGATCGACTGCTCTGCTGTGATTGGCGGATTGGTTACCCTATTCACCAGCTTATAACCATGCAACAAGCCATTCTGACAAGTATTCAAATACATTCTGAGAAGGCGATTAATTGTCGCTGTGCAAATCAGCACGAGCCAGGCAGGCCAGGGACTAAAGATCCTCTTTCTTGCAAAATGAACATCTTTTTTTACGATAAACATTCTCGATTCCAGCATCAGGACCAATACCCAAATTAATGAACGATTTTTTCAAACCACCCTACCCTAGAGTGTTATATAAAATGAGGAGGGCTCTGCAAGCTTGGCAATATGATATGCCCTGAACACCAAGGCATACCGTATTTTCCCGTATGTTCCCCTTGCTTTACATCAGGCCCTACGATCAGGGTCCTAGATTCGTTTTGGGGCACGCTGACGGCACAGCGTGCATCCCTCCTAGTACTCTGTCTGTCAGTGTTGCTTCAATTTTTTAGGCTGGAGATTCAGAGGCACACAACTTTCCTAGGCTGATCAATCAGCGTTACCTTGAAAATTTGTTACTGATCATGCAGGCTATAAACATTTCCTCACATATCTGAATCAGAGTCTGACTGACAACGTTCTACAGGAGCACGATCAGCTACTGGCTCCTCCTCTACATGCTCCTTCCCAGCTCTTGGAGGGTCCCTGTATCTTGCAGCAGGTGCTGTGACTGGACGGCGCTTCTTGTAGTTGCGCCACACTTTAACTACTCCTGGCAAATCTAGCTCGTAGTCTAGTAATGACATTGACAACAAATCACTGAGCCTACAGTCCTTGATACTGCCTCTCTGCCACGTTTTGATAAGGTTCTGTCGAGAGAAACCTCTCTCACACTCAACAGTGCCGAGAGGCAACACTGCTATCGCCACCCAGAGGTTGATCAGATTGGGGTATGCATGCTGCCAATCGGGAGTCTTGAGGATGGCTGCCAGTCCCGCATGAAACTTCCGCTCGATCTTAGGAGCTCTGGCCAAGACCGGGCACAGAGTCCTCAGCTCCTTGACCGCCCGCTTTTTGTCAATGCCTGCGATGTAAGTAACAATGTGGAGGGTATTAGTTCAATACGAGAGTGCAAGTGTCAAACGTGTGCACTGAGAGACCAAGCAAATACTAACCTGGCAGACTCTCGGGCGAGTCGTCGGTGGCGAGCGACAGCAACCACTCTAGATACTGAGCCTGCCTAGCCTGCCGATCCCAGTTCAGTGGCCACATGTTCGGGATGAAGAGCCGCACTCCAGCCAGCGAATCAAGGTCACCAAGCTTTGACTGGAGATTGTTGACGAGCAGCTCGGCCATGTCGGTGCAGAGCGCGACACAGGCGTCACGATGGCCGGGTCCAAGGTACGCTCGTGGAGGTCGAAACGGAAGCGGTTCATGCTGCCGTCCGACGAGGCACCTTCCACCACCATCTGCGGCGACCCTTGTGGCCCGTGCTTGGCGATGAACCGATACAGAAGCTCGCTGGTGCCGCCGCCGAAATCATCGCCACAGTCGATGTAGCGGCTCTCCAGGAGAGAGGTTGTGCGCAGGATCTGAGCATGCACGAGTGGGTAGTCGAGCTGCCACACACGAATTACACCGGAAATTAGTACAAGTGGTTCAAATAACAATAATTTGAAAAACAAACGATCAGTCACTTACCTCTCGAAGCTGGAAAACCTTGGAGAGGACGTTCAGTAGATCCAGCACGTCCGCTAGAAACCTCACAAGGAACTCGAAGCGATACGACGTTACCAACTCGTACATGGTCTGGTCCTTCCACTCGGACAGCATCACAATAATGGCGGGCATGACTTGGACGAACCGCGACACTGCAGCACCCCGCGACAGCCATCGAACCCTTGCACCTCGAGGTTCGTGGATGTGAAGACCTCTTGGAGCTCCATGAAGCGTTGATGCCAAGGTCCCGAACGCCCAAGGTACTCCGCGACGGCGCGAATGACGTCGTCGATCATGTTGAAGGTCGGGATCTCTTCTGCTGCAGCTTTTGCAGCCAATGCTTCTCTGCAAGTAACACAACACACACAAGTTTATTATATAGAGTTATATAACAACACAACCTTAAACATGCTGTCAAAACAAAGAGAGCCAGACTTACCGGTGTGCGATGCAGCGGAACGAGACGAGGTTGGGGATGAGCATTCGGATGCGTGCAACCACTCCTGTATGCTGCCCCACCATGACCATCGCGCCGTCTGTGCTCATGCCCGATATTCGGCGGAGGTCCACGCCGACAGCTCTGAGGTGGGAAAGGAGCAGGCTTGAAAGGGATGCAGCGTCTGCCTTCTCAACAGTGAGAAGTGCGAGGAACTCGGTGACGACAACGCCATCGCGGATGAAGGTGGCAAACACAATCATGTGTTTGCCACTTCGCCGATCGGTGCTCTCGTCCAGCGTGATCCCGATGAAGGGACTCGTTAGAAGATGCTCCAGCTGCATTGTTTGAAGCCAAGTCGCGATTGCTTGAGTCAGCTCACCAAAGTCGTACCTGTAAATGAAAAAACAGCACGGTAGTGAGCGACAAACGAACTGCAAATGTGAGGGCTATGTTTAGAGAATTGTAAAAACAGGAATCACTTACGTGTTGTAGTACGTGCCGTATCCATTCTCCGTAAACCCGGGCACCTTCTTCTTCGCCAGGTGGCGCACAAGCCGGATCCACGAGTCCATGGGCTCGTTGCACTTGCTCATGAAGTACAACGAATCCAAGAGTGCCGAGATCTGCACCATCTCCTAGTCCAGCGCCTTGGGGTGTAGATCGATGCGGCGTTGTCCCTCCATTTTCTGCAGCAGGTCGTCCTTCCTCTGCAGTGCTAACCGATGCTTCGTGGTACCCTCATGCTTCTTGAAGGCCTGCGTCTGCACGTCGGTAGCGCCTTCTCCACGCCGTCCACATTTGCCTGCCAATCCCACGAATTCCAAGCAGATGGTGCACTTAAAAGAGGGGGCACCAGCAGAAGTCTTAGTTAGTATCAGCCATGGATAATCCGTACACCACCTCGACTTGAAACGGTCGTGCGCTTCTTCGTATTTCAGCTCAACTTTCTCGGGACGGGGTTTGGAGCTATCCTGATTGGGTGATTCCTCTGCCACAGGAGCATGAACACTCGAAGCAAGTGGTGGAGTTCCCCACGCAATGGTGGACTGCCGTAAACGCAGCTCTGGTAGTGGCGCGAGACGGGATGGAGTTTCGGCAGACGCCTCATGTAGCTCCGTCTGAGGCGTGCTTGTCACATGCTCGATGGCGGCTTCGGGCAGAGAATCCAGGTGCACAGATTCCGGAGCGTGACTCGTGCTTAGCAGAGATGGTGCCGCTGGCGGTGCAAGGGCGTGGCTAAGGACGACTTAAGAAAGTCCAGGCCCGTCGCCATGTCGCCACGACGACGACGACCTACATCGTCGTCGTCGTCCAGCTCGTCGGCAGCAGTGTCTGTGGCAGCCATAGAGTCTGCCGAGCAGTGTTTTGCTAGGTTGGGAGAAGCTGCCTGAAACGAGGGATCAGGCAGTAGTAACAGGGGACGGCAAAGATATGAAGGGAGAGCCAGGCAACAAAGGGAATTGTAGGAACGGTCACGCTGGGTGAGGTGAGGAGGTCCCCTTTTGAGGACCTCAGTGTGAAACCCTCACTGCTCCCTGCATGCACTTCACCTGGTTGTGTATGCAGCGCAGGTGGGGTGGGGTGGATGGTTCTGGTGTCGTGCATGGCGCAGTGCGCTGCGAGCTATGCGTTGGCAAGGAATGTTGCCAACGCTGGTTGCTGCACAGGCCCGATTGGTTGGAAATGTCGCTGATGGCAGCTTTGCTGTACCAACGCGACAGAGCGGTGCCGCGGTGGGGAAATACAGTTTACCGGCCGTGATTGACGGTGTTATACATACACACCGCCTCGCTGGCCAGAATCCCCGTAATCCCGGTTTCAGAGTGCACCCCCGATAGTAGGCTGAGGCTCGGCGTACACTCATACTTTGAGGCTGTAAAAGCAGAGAAGGCATATAAAAAGACTCTGGAAAATCAGCCAACATACATTAAAAAAAACTTTGACTTCAGCCTAGTGTATCAAAAAAAGCCT